TGAGTTGGAGTCTCAAACGGGTTGCCCAGGCTAGAGTGCAGTAGCATACTCATGGCCACTCCAGCATCGACCTGCTGGGCTCCGGCGATCCTTCCACTTCAGCCTTCCAAGTAGCTGGAACTACAGGTGTGTGCTACCACACCTGGCTAATTTTTAATTTATTGTAGAAACGAGGTCTCACCAAGTTGCCTGGGCTGGTCTCGAAGCCACTGGCTCAGGCAATCTACTCATCTCGGTTTCCCAAAGTGGTGGGATTACAGGCTGAGCCACCAAGCCCGGCCTAGCATACATCTATTTAGAAATGGCTGTGATATACTCAAAGACACTCTAATAGGTTCACAAAAGAAACAAGTCAAAGTCCTTCAATGGTATGATGACTTGCCCACGGTAGACAGACTCTTCTACAATTTTAATTATAAGCAGTAAGTAGTCTTTTAACTACATGGCAGTGGTGACCAAGGTGCTTTTGCCTCATTTGTTTTGAAAATGCATCCTCAATACTTGTTGATTTTTTAAAACTATTTGTATACATTTATTACTGAATGAGTATGTTATACACCTTACAAAACAAGAATAAAGATAGGAAAGAAGGATGACAGAACTGATGTAATGTTTTTTATCATGATATCTCAAGGCCAATACACACAGGAAGAGGTTCATGATTACCCACAGTGAACATACATCTGTATGTCATCCAGGTAATTTAAAATTGGGGTGGTCAGCTTCTTTCCAGGTGTGATTTGGCAGTCACTGTCATTACTTCATGATGTGGCTGACTAAGAGTTCATGCAAAGCTGTGCCATTCTGCAGTATTCAGATTATCTTCAACTTATGAGAATTCTTTGCAGAATCTTGCAAAGATTCTGCAAGTTTTTGAGGGTTTGTTAAAACCTAAAATATGGAATTTGTAAATCCCGTCCACCAGGCATAATATAGTTCATGAAATAACCAAGGTAGGTAAACTGGTGGGAAAGCCACTAGAAAGCCCTGTTCTGGGCACTACCACTCTACTCAGGAGACCTCATCTACCTCCAGGTGATACCTGACTACCAGACATGCGGACTAGAGGACAGCACCAAGGCCAATGTAGTCTTCATCAGTCATCACAATGTTTTGCGATAATAAAATGAACATCGATGCAAGTTCCAGCCCATTTCTTTTCCCGCCCAGATGAATTTTCTCAAGAGCTCCCTGGAATGCCCATCCCACTTTGGAGATTTTGCACCATGTAGGGAAGCAGTCATTTACTTCTAAGAGCCACTTACAATCACAGAAATCTCTAGGCCTGAAATAAGGAAGGACAGGAGATGAAGCAATCCAGGCCAAAGAGACAGAGCATTTGTTTATCTTTTAAAATTTTTGAATTATTAACTATAACCCAGAAACAGAAAAGCAGATAACAAATTCATGTTTGGTTATATGCTGGTCTTGTCACTACCATCTCAGTCAAAAAAACAATATTTCCAGCACCCCTGGAAGGTCCCTTCTCTTCAAGGTAACCTCTATCCTGTTACCTGATTCTTTCAGTAATAAGTTCCTTACTTTTCTTTATTGTTTCAGCCACTTATGTATGTGCACCTTAGCAATAAAGTTCAGCTTTGTCTGTTTTCACTCTTTATATAAATGTAATAAGATTGCTAAGTATTCTTTTGTATCTCCTTTCAACATTACGTTTGTAGGATACATTCATATTATTGTTATAGCTCTGGTTCATTTTTCACTGCTATATAGTATTCCAACATACAATTACACCACCATTTACTCATCCATTCTACTACTGATGAGAGCATTTTATGCATCTTTGGATGCACATTTCTCTAAAATAGACACACACACACACGTAGTTAACTTAGTTTAAAGGGAAAAAAAGAAACAACCTAAGGGAAAGTAATTCCAGTGCATCTCTTGGCAATAAATTTTAATATTAACTAACTCTTATGAAGTCATGAGGAGAGTTCATTAAATTACTAGATTTATCTTTTAGTAGACTTTCACTCCTGCACATTCATTAAATCTAAACTTTGTCATTAAATGAATTTTACTATGTTAAAAAATAGTTTGAAAATTTCCAATGAATTTACTGAAGCTGATTCTCCTAAGTTTCTCTCTCTCTCTTACACACACACACACACACACACACACACACACACACACACACTTTTTTACATAGTATAATTACATTTTTCTTCTTCATGAGGGCTAATATCATGTATACTGGGAAAACAAAAAGTTCATTCAAATTTTAAAGCAGTTTTGCACCCAAAGGGTTTCAAGTTAATACTGACGAAGCCTGGAAGGCAAAAAAAAATCTTATTTCTGTAGCCAAAGTAAGGAGTACAAGTGCAAATAGGAGGTAAATTCCCGATTCAGAGTCTCCAGATTTTCATTACCGTCATGAGTGTTCTCCAAGTGGTATGCAGAAACGAGGCATACTTAGATGACAGTCCAGTGGTGCCAGCAACATTTCCCCTTGTCTTATTGATACCAGACATAGTAACTAACATTTATTACTGTGGCAGGCACTTTCTACATATCTACTTACATATACAATACTTACATATATTAGCTTGTTTAATCATCAAAACAAGGTAAGTACTATCATGTACCCCATTTTATAAGAAGAAACTGAGACACAGAGAGGGAAATTAACTTGATTAAGGTCCCCCTGTTATAGGAAGAGGAGTTGAAATTCAAAACCATTCTTTCTGAAGCCTCAGTTGATATTCCCTTTACCACCTTGCAAAATGTTAAGTTTTGTTGTTGCTGTTGTTGACATTGTTACTGTTATTTTTGGTAACAACAAGAATAATTCAGGGCAAAATGTTGAATCATGAGAAAGAATTCTATACACATCTGTTTTGATTTATGAGAAATTTGTGGAAATTATTGTAACCAAGCAACTCTCTAATTCTAGCAGAACTAATTAAGAAATGAATTAAGGGATTTAATGGATACCCAAATTAGTCATTAGATCTCGAAGATCTGGAGTTCTGGTCTAAATCCAGCTCTGGCACTTGCATCCAAAATAAACATGACCAAATAAGTGCGACAGCTCACAATTAAAATGGATTTATACGGCTTATGTGTCCACATGGGACTGGCCTCTTCCTAATTGAATTCGGACACCTCTTTGGTTACTGTGGGTTTCATCTGCCATTCTCCTCATCTTTCATAACTGCTGGCAATGGGATGATGCTGAAGGAGAAATCATTTCAGTCAGTGATGTCTGTGGTACATGCATAAAAAGATAAAAGGAAAGTCTTTGAGCTGTAATTAGAAAATTCCTCAAGTGTGCTCATGTGGCATATGGTTTAAACTACTACCAACTGGCAAGGCCAATTCCAGAAGCGATGTCTAATGTCACCATTCTGGGGTAAGTAGCCAATAAAAGTAGCGTTCCAGCATGCACTGAGAGTAATCCTGAACAGGCTAAAACATTCCTGCTTTCCACCTCTAATATGATTAGTGACAGACAGCTGGAGGCATCTCGTTCTCCCGACAAAAATATCATCAAAATTGTTTTCAACTGGTTCATCTTTCCATCAAGCTGTCACCTTCTAGCAGAATAATCAGGGTTTCTGATGATTTGGTATATGTTTCAAGAAAACAAGAATGGATTGTGCCCTTGCTGGTCTGATGGGTAGAAGGCCACCAGGATTTACATAGTAACACTTCAGTTGCCTAACTGAAAGAAAAGCTACGGGGTGTGTGTGTGAGTGTGTGTGTGTGTGTGTGTGTGTGTGTGTGTGTGTGTGTGTTCACACACGTGTGTATAGAGACAGAGAGAAACAGACAGAAAGAAAAATCAACCAGTTGTTTCCATATTAATTCTCTTTGAACAACTATAAAGAAAGTGCTTTAATGGTGATTCAGATATGAGGAAGTGGTGAAATGTTCTATTCCACTCATGGAAAACTACCAGCTCCCGCCAGTGTGAATGGCTCTTTTCAAAAAATTACAGTCATCTTACCACTTAGTTTTACTTACCACAAAATTTCAGATTTATGGAAAAAGAGTTGAGTTTGTACTAAACATAGATGAAAATATCCAGCAGGCAATTCAATCTCATTAATTTGTACTATCTCAATTTGGAATTTATGATCATCTGACAGGGTCTGGACCAAGGATAATCTTTTTGGTAAGAATATACAGCTTGCTAAGTAACTTGATTTAAACAAGATTGACAGAGGGAAAAATGAAAATATTTCAGGGAACGTATGAACCTAAAACAACAACATGCTTTCTGCCCAGTATATGCTTTTGACATCTCCATTTAAATGCCACTAACTAAGGAAAAAAAATTACCATTGTATTGCATGTCAATCTTGTGTAGGTTTATTCTACATACACAAGGTTGAAACATCTCAACAACTCTGCAAAATGAGTATAATTTTCCCATCTTTGAGAGGAGGAAACTCAGGCCCAGATAAGTAAGTGACATGTGAAGATGACACAGTGCTTAGGCAGCAGAAGTAGGACCAAAGTCAGGCTGTCTGCCTCAGAAACCTGTACCCTTCCAAGCCCACTCATGGCTGACTGAGCATCGCCAGTTCCAAGTGGACTTCCAGAGTCACCGGGGCAACCTCTTCAACAAGAATGACCACAACAGCCAACACCAGGCAGTCTAGCTCCAGAACCCATTAATCTTAACCATAATTCTTTTCTAGATCACAAGAATGTCTTCAAAAGGCCCCCTTTTTGTATACAAAGTATTTTGCATGCACGAAACCACTCTAAAGCTATCATTAGAAATGTTGCTGTAGGTGGAAAGGGGGGTGTGAGAGGGAGAGGAGTGACTCATGTCTACCAAACTCTACTGTCCTACCAAGAGTAATTTCAGTCTACACGCGATGAATGAGAATTCTGGTGTTGGGGCCCTGGGAGGCAGCAGAGGCCACCAAAGGCCGAGATGGGCCCCCAGGAGTCAGTCACAAGAGCAGGGACTGTGGGCCATGTGGGCAGCAGGAAGTCATGGGGAAGGAAGGACCATCTTTACTTACCTAGGAATCCACAGAGAGGTTCTCGAAAGTAGCCTGGGTTCTGGAGTGCTCTAGGGAAAAAAAGGAAATTTGAAAGATCAGGCAGGTGTCACCCGAGCAGCCACACCTCCTGGTTCTCATGACATCTGGCCCCAAGCACAGAATTCAGAGGCAGGCAGGTGGGGAATGAGGCCTCACCCACGACTTCATGTCTATGTGTCCTCGCGTAGGTAGAGTAACCTCTCTGTGCTTCCGTTTACTTAACTGTAAAATGAGGCTAACAACAGTACTCTCCTCACAAAGTTGTTGGCCAGATCACATGCCATATATGCAATGCATTTAGCACACTGCCTATATATAATGGTGATATTTTAGTAACACCAACAATAGCTAACATATATTGTTTGTTTAGAGAGTGCCTAGCATTGTGCCAGGGACTTCCATTGGTTAACACCTGCAGTACTCTGAGGAAGGTGCTAGAATTACTAGCATTTTACAGATTCTGGCAAATGAGGCACAGAGAAGTCAAATCACCTTCCTCATGAAGATAAATGAAGCAGGATAAATGGTGGAGCTGGGATTCTAACTGACAATCAGGCCCGAGAGCCCGGAATGTTCGCCACAGCAATTTCTTGTCCGATTTAATGCGAACTATTATTCTTCTTGTTATCATATTCTTCTTTCCAAGAGATATCCCAAAATGTACACACAAGCCTGCAGAACTCTCCATTCAGCCAGTAACCACTGAGGCAGAGAGATGGGTGCCAAGGTCATCAAGAAACCAACTAACCACTACTCACACATCACTTCAAGCATTTCTTAAGGATTCACAGGTCTTAAAAAAGAATGAAATAATGTCTTTTGCAGCAACATGGAAACAACTGGAGGCCATTATACTAAGTGAATTAACACTGAAATAGGAAACCAAATATTGCATGTTCTCACAAGCAAGAGCTAATCACTGGGTACACACGGACATAAAGATGGGAACAGCAGACACTGAGGACTCTTACAGGGGGTAAGGATAGAGGAGGGCAGGGATTAAACAACTACCTATTGGGTACCATGTTCACTATTTGGCTGACAGGTTCAATAGACACCTAACCTCACCATCACAAAATATACCTGCATAACAGACCTGCACATGTGCCCACTGAATCTAAAATAAAACTTTTATTTTTTTAAAAAGGATCCCTATGTCTCCAGTGCTCTGTGAGAACTGTGTGGGGACTCAAATACTCTGGTAGCTGACCCTACAGAGCCAGAAAATCAAACTCCATTAAATGATTAGAGAACAGCAAGGTAGGCCTGGAAAGAGTCAGACAGGGCCTTAGGAAGTGGATGCTGTGCCTGGCTCTGGCATCAGCTCTCCAGTGACCTGCTCCAAGTCAGTTGACCTCTCTGGGATTCATCCTCAGATAACAGAATTGACCTAGAGATTCTTAAGCCCTGAGATTCTCATCTACAACTATGACTTTCTTTCATACTAACTTTTTCTCCCAACAGTTCATTTTTGAAAGAGTGTATTATAACCTTTCATCGATCCAACAGATATTGCCTGAGCACAATGCCAAGCATTGTGAATGGTGCCAAGGTGCAACCTACACTCTATAATGATCTCTGTAAGCATGATGAATTCTCACCCTATGACATGTTGGTAATCAGGAGACAAGGGAAGAAGGCAGCCCTGAGGACAACTGCATACACTAGATCTGCCCCTATCTGCATCAATCCAAAATCCAGGGTCCCCATGCCCCAGGTGCCCAGCAGTCTGGAAGGGGATGGCGTGCCGTGGTAATTAGATACGGAGGATAGGAATGTCTGGGGAAAAGAAGCTAGAAACCAAACACCCAATAGGATGCTTGCATTGGAAGTTAGGTTTGTTTTCTAAGAGTTAGTAGTATTGTATGCCAGAAACCAAAAAGAAGGGAACTCAGCTGGTACATTATTCAACTTTAATAAAGTATATCAATGACCATTTTGATAGCAATCTTAGAGAGAGAGAGAGAGAGAGAGAGAGAGAATATGCATATACCTGCTTCTATGGGAAATACTTCTACACAAGATGCTACCAGTTTTATTTAAAGATCGATCCATCACACTTAGATACATTTGCTTTCACAAAAACACCTTGGAGGAGAATAATTTAGTGAGTACAATACTTCCATTAAAAAGGAATTGATTTTAAAATATGCTTTTCACACTTTTGACAAAAACAATTTTCTTCATGCATCACAAAAGGCAAATGTTGTGTTGACAAAGTAATAAATAACATGAAATGTCAAATGAGACATTAAACATTTATGGATTTAATTTTTAATAAAGACTTTTAGGCATACCCCAAAATATCCATCAGTCTTTGACATGGGAAGGAGCAACATTTTGGTGAATTCCATCCCCCACTATGATAGAAGTCAGCAAAAGGTATTCATGGCTCTTAGAGAGAGGGCAATGATAGAATTTTTTAAATTTTTGCAGCATGATTTTAGAAGGCACAGAATGGTCAAACATAGCTTGCATTATTTTGGTAGGCATCCAGGGAACAAATATACTGTTTCTGCTATGTTTCCGCCCAAGTATCCTGTGCATGGGGGTCTATAGAAAATTTGTTTCCTAAATTGGCACTGAAAAGGATTCCACAAATGTCTTATGCAATTGCAGCATTGTTGTAGTATATGTATAAACCTCAAAGAGGAAAACTTTCAGGAAGATATAAATTATAGTTTTCTTAAGCCTGAAAGAAAAAAATAACTGAAATTAGTGATTATCCCTTCTTAGTGAAGAATTATGGGTGAATAATTCTTAGTGAAGAATTATGGATGACTTTTTTTTTCTTCTTTTAAATAATTTTCTCTGCTTTCTAAACTTTCTATAATAAGTGTAACTTTTACAATTTGAATGTTTTTCTTTAATCTCATGATAGATTATGAAAAAACAGCCTAATGTACTTAAAAGTGAAAAGAAGCCAGGCGTGGTGGCCTGTGCCTGTAGTCCCAGCTACTCCGGAAGCTGAGGTGGGAGAATCTTTTGAGCCCAGGAGATTGAGGTTATGGTGCACTATGACTGCGCCACTATACTTCAGCTTGGGTGACAGAGTGAGATCCTGTCTCTAAATAAAAAGTGAAAAGGCTTTGGAATCAGATGAGGTTGGGTTAAATTCCAGACTGTCCCTTTTCCATCTTGGTGTCCCTTGATAAATTACACAGCAGCTCAGGTCTTACAGTTCTTCATCTGTAAAATGCCTGGAAACATTGGTTTGCCTACTAAAGGTACGATATTTTAAGTGCCTGGCGCAGAGTAGGAGCCCAATAAATGGTAGTTGCTCATCTAGCCAAAGAACACAGGGAGGACAAGTCAGGCTTCTCTGATAACAGTAAATGGATTTGTTGGTGTTTATACGCTGATGCTTCTGTTTACAGAAATACAGTGAGATTGTAACAGGTGACCTACAGAAATCATCTAACAGTTAAAAGTTCAGAAAAAGAGTAAGTAGAAGTGGGCTTTCACACCACTCTCCAACACAATGATAAGATCACTAGGTTCCTACAGCTCAAGACTCTTGGGTTCACCTGCACCTGCTCAGAAATCCTCTGATCGGGATGGGAGTTGAGAGGATTAAAGCAGACCTATCTGATAATAGAGAAACCATAGCTACCACAATCAAGATCTTTTCCATGTTGCTGTTCCTGATGATTAAAGTGAGCAAAATAAATGAAATAATTTCTTAAATGAGGGGTTAGGGACAAGGTTACAGATTCTCTGGCTTTTCTTTTTTATGGTAGCTACGTTGATATTTTCTTTCAACTCATCTGCAGGTAGTTCAATCAGGTAGGTTTATGATAAAATATATGTATGTACTCAACAAAATATGGTTGTAGGGGATAGACTGCCCTTGGATATATGTTGCTGTACCTTGACTACAGCAAGAAATATTGATTTAACTGGCTTTAATATCAAGTCAGGTATTTGTTGACACGTGGAAATGAAAAATATCAAAACCATGAAAATCTTGATATATAGGGCAAATCCCACTTCAACTCCCTCCGAGGGACTGTTCAAAGTCCTCTGCTGTATCAGAACTGTGTCTACTGTTGTTTGCCCAGATCCCAGATAATAGGGATTTTCATTAGATTGGGATTTGCTACATAAATGAATATTAGTATAAATTTTTATGTAGTATAATGTATTGTATAAAATATAGCAGGAAAAAATATCACTGCATGTTTAAGCTGTCCCTCTTCTCAACTCTAAAGATACTGCATCTTGCTTTTGTTTGTTTGTTTTTTTGAGTTGAAGTCTCATGTGGCCTAGACTGGAGTGCAATGGCACAATTACCGTTCAGTGTAGCATTAACCTCCCAGACTCAAGTGATCCTCTCACCTCAGCCTCCTGAGTAGCTGGAACTACAGGTGCACACTCATGCCTGGCTAATTTTTGATTTTTTTTTTTTTTAATATAGAGACAGGGGCCTCCCTATGTTGCTCAGGTTGGTCTTGAACTCCTGGCCTCAAACAATCCTCCCACCTCAGCCTCCCAAAGTACTGGGATTGCAGGCATGAGCCACCATGCCCAGTCTCATCTTGCTTTCTACCTTAGGTTTGCACATTCTTTTCTTTTCTCCATCTGATTCATCTTTGTTCCTCTAACAGTGCCTAGTGCAAAACAGATATGCGGGAAATGACTGATGAAGACATGAGCTAAATGAGTGCTCTTTGTCAAAGCAAAGGAGGAAAACTCTGAACAATTTCCCGTGTAGGAGAAAGAACATTGAGAAATGGATTGTAAATGAGGACAGGAGGTAGGTTTAGCCTTCACACCTGGCATTCTCCAGCAGTCCTGGGACCAGTGGGTTTGGTTTGGCTTCCCACACCCAGTAGGTAGGGAGGCTTGTCTAAAATGTCCAGCCCAGCTCCCCACTCCACACCTGGGGACTGCACGGAGATATCTCACTCATGAACTGCATGAAGCACCTTCATGGTCCAACAGTAGAGCCTAAGATAGAGTGGCCAACGCACCAATTCTGTCCTCCTAAAGGACTGAAAGAAAGGGCTTCCCACCATGGTTGTCGCCA